GTACCAAAGAGGAGAGCTTGTCAGAACAATCACTGAAAATATTTATAGAAAGGGCATAAGGTAGCTATGTTATGGTGGTGGGAAAGTGAATAATGCCAAGATGTCAGGTCAGGACAAATATCATTGCAGATCCTTTTTTGGATTTTGTCAAGAATCTCTAGATACTTAGAAGGAACACTAAACTGGACATGGTAACAATATTCAATGCATGGAGAAATGGTAGACTTGGTACATTCCAGTGAGAAAAATTGTCTAGCATGACACAATGAACTAAATTTCTTATGGTCTTTTGCCAGACTAAGTTTAGTAAATATAAATGAATGCATCACCATAAAGCAGTGGTTAGTAAGCTCATCTTGCAGAAGATTTCTACTGTAATAAGTTCAATATTAAGTGGATACCCAATATTTATGGCCTTGTGCCAGACTATGCTAAAGGAAATACCTGACAGAGAGCAATGATAATTAAATGGTTATTAGTACACCAGGCTGTTTGTATCTGTTTAGATATAAGAAAAGAAGAGGAAGAAGAAGAATCAGTATTTGCAAGAGGTCATGTGATGAAATGTAAACAAAACAATGGTTTCCCTTTTAGGGAACATGTAGGTAAGAAAAACATGATATAGAATCGGTTTTGTCATTTCATTTATTTTGAATATCTAAGGATACAGTAAGTAACAACATTTCTAATAACATCATCTTTATATAATCATTAAGCAGTCATCTTATACTACAGATACAATATAAATTCATGAAAATTTGCTATATTTTTTGACCTCATCTTATTTAAAGGTCGCCTTATATATATATATATATATATATATATATATATATATATGTATATAAAAGAAAAAGATATATATATATATATATATATATGTAGATTGTATCTTTTTCCTTTTTTCTTTTTTCCTTTTATGTGGGTTTCTTCTTCACCCCTTACCCATCTATATCTAGAGATAACATACGTTAAGTTAAGCATCGTCTGGCCCACACCAAGTGAGCTTAAGGATAAAGAATTGAAATGGTACATCTAACTCACTCATGTCTTCTCTCCCCACTCACTTCCTCACTTCGTTAATTTAAATATGCTTAATACGGCCCGTCAAAAATGTGTAAATTTCTTTTCATTTTAACCTTTGGAAGTAAAGTCTGATGATCCAGAGCCCATTAAAAGGGCTGTGGTGAAATTATCTATTACATGGAACCTTAAAGTGGTCTGTTTTTATTCAAAAATATATATACATATGACATCACACATTATGAAATGGACAAAGTCTGACAATTATTTTAAGACATTTTTATGTTTATCTATAAAAAGAATGTTATATATATATATATATATAATTTTTATATGTATCATTTATATATTATATATGTGTGGTACTTATTGGAAAGTGCTCAATATCAGTGATAGAGCTAACATAAAAACCAGGGTCACAAACTCACATCAATCCAACTTAAAAAAAAACCCAGACAACATGCATTTAGCGGATGTCAGAATCCGTTGAAAAATACGCCCCTACCCTCCCTAAACTTAACCTCTTTCTCAAATGTAACTCATAATTGATACAAAAATAGTTAATATAAATGAACACGCTAACAATGAATTATGGATTTATGTGTTCGTTTAAAACTCAGTAAATTTAAAGATAAGTTATTCCCAATATTCGCTTGAAGACAAAATGGAACTAATGCTTTTGATTTAATTATAAAATTAAGTTTTTAGCTTTCATTTTTGAAACATGGTTATTATTGTGTAGCAAAAAAACATTTTATATCACTTAATTTGTTATATAAGTTTTAAGGTATGCCATATATGGGTAAAACTGCTCGATATCAGGGATAAAGCAAATGTAAATATAAAAGTGGACACTGAGGTCAATACCAAGTGGTGAAACATTGTTTTATGCTGGAACACAATCTTCAGGCAGGCCATGTGTATAGGAAGCAAGCAGATTTTGACATTAAATTTTAAGGTAAAACAGTGCATCTTAAACACCGAATAATACGGTATTTGTGTGTGTGTGTGCGTGTGTGTGTGTCATTCATGGTTGTCCTTCAGTTCCAAAGAAGATTTTGTCCTGTGATTCACCTTCATTCATGAATCAAGTCTGGACATGCAGAGTCTGGAGCAAGGCAGTCACTGGGAAATTGGTGGGTTTAACCAATGTCAATTTTCACAGTGGCATTGGGGGTTTTTTTTTTGTTTGTCTTCTTCAAAGTTTGCAGAGATCTGGTAGACAATGGCATACCAGCTTAATCATTTGTGTGTATTATAGATAATAACATGTAATTCTATGGGAAAAATGCATATACATATATCACATATGATAATAACAATAAAGATAAGGACAATAGTCTGTGTGTAAATAATGAATATGGGCCCAAAAATTTTTGTAAGCTAAATATTCAATCAATCAAAAGATGGAGAAAGCAGTCCTGATCTGTAGATTGAAAGAGAGTCATGGTTGGTTGATTGCAAAAATGAGAAGAAATTGATAAAGAAAATAATTTGTGGGTAGGGCAATACTTTTATGGTCAATGCCACTAATTAAGGAAAAGCAGGTTTGCACTTTATTATATATATATAGATTGTGTCTAGCATGAAACCGACTATCACCTCTAAGTGTTGACTTCAATGTTTACTTTTATATATATATATATATATATATTGATTGGATCTTAATTAATTCTATTCATGCTTGATGTCTTTATTTCCTATTAGCGATAAGTTTATATTATATGCACAAATAATTGATATATAACTGATTTTAAGAAAAGAGATCTAAAGTGATATTCGACCCGAGATGTAGGTGTGGTGAGGCTGAAAAAGGGCAGTCATGTTCTACTTCAGTAGCTGCAGAAAAAAACTCATACAAGAAATACAACGACCCCAGAAATAAGACTGCCACCTGCTACATTAAGCATCAGTAGTTGGTGTTACTGATATAGTTCTCAGTTGAACCAATAAGGGATAAAGAAAAAAAAAATAATGTCTAATGTTTGGTCAGATTTTGGGAAGTGAGTTGAACTTTTCAGTAACCCCTATATATATATATATATATATATATATATATATATATATATATATATATATATATATCAAATATGTGCAGTTCAATTTATATTACAATGAATCATTCATACAAAAAGTAGATTAGTAAAGTTAATGATATAAAATGGCGAAATCCTTTCACAAACAAAATTTTAAAGTTGCATTAACCTACGAACCACTTGATGAATGTTATGATCTTTGTTTTCAATAACTACAAGCTGTATAAGGTCTTTTTTTTAATCTGCTAGTACTTTCAACTGTACATACAGTCATCCTCAGGCATGGAAATTTTTTTTTAGTAAAATCCAGGTAGCATCAGAGACGAAAGATTAAATGTGAATTTTTATCCGTTAACAATAACACATTTCTAAAAAAACATTTTTCAATTCGCATTTAATATCATTAAATGATATCATTATTTTATATCATTAACTTTACTAATCTACTTTTTGTATGAATGATTCATTGTAATATACACATACATACATACATACATATATACATATATATATAATAATTATTTTCTATTTTAAAAATATGGTTCCATCGCTACACGGGAGTTACTATGTTTCAAAACAGAAATTAAACTTTTAAATTTAATTATAAAATTAAATTTAAAATCCATAGCTCCATTCCATTCTCAAGCAATTTTTGGAATAACCTATTAAGAAATTTACTTCATTAATAAACACAATCTTAATATTTCAATTTGTTAAGGTTACAGAAAATTGATAAGGTGTGTTTGGGTTTTAATTTCCCTTATGTATCAAATATAAGTTATTTTCAAAATCAGTTAAAATGGTGCAGGGGTGCCTGCTCACAAGCAATGACATCCATTTTTCATATATCATCTGTTTTTTTCAATGATAAAGAGTTTTCGGCATTTTTATTTGGCTGCTTAATTTATAATTTTACACACACAGATTTCTTAAAAGTATCATCTGAATGTGAGTAAATCATATTTTAGTATTTAAAATCTATTCCTACAAATTTAAAGTACTGTTCCTATTTCTAATAACTAATATACTATACGTTATCTTTTTACAAATAAATATATTAGAATTACATTCGTATTTAAAAAAATTATTAATCAAAAATCAAGTATAAATATGTATGTTTCATCTTGTATCTCTTTTTCAAAATTGATCATTATTTAAGGAAAATATTTGACAGTGTCTGCAAAAAATAGCTATTTCATTTCTTTAAGTAAATTTTTATTTTTCAGAAACTTAATAATGTATAATTTTTCATGTATGCCCAAAGGACATGGGTCATTTAATGACCAACAATCTCTTCTTATTTTACTGTTGGTGTTTTATTGGTTTCTTTTAAGTGCCAGAAATATTTAGATAGGGATGATTGATTTCTGTATTTATTATTTTTAAAGGACATTTGATGTTGGTTCCAACATCTTTTGAATTCATGCTTTGTGCATCCAATATCGATTTTAACTATGTTTGGATCTCCAACAGATGAAATATTGCATTGATAATCCAATGATTCTGTACATTTATTGTTGAGAGGACATTTTTGAAGATTTCTATAGTTGCATAATTTTTCTTTATTTTCATTTCTTTTTATTTTAGGATCTAGATTTTTTTGATTTTGGTCTAAGTGTTTACTCTTGTTATATATATATATACACCTTATGGCTGTGACTGACTCTGAGCAATGCCATCACTTGATTCAATATCAGGTGTGGATGTGTTTCTTTTTAGCCCTGCTCAGGTCTTACACTGTCTTTCACAGATGAGGCAGTGTTGAGTGTTTTTTTACAGTAGTTGTTACTGAAATGTTGCATAAAAGGGAATGAATGACTATCCTCATTATGTAGCAAATTTGATGATTTTTGAGGCCTGCTCTACTTGGATGCAACCACATTCATTAGACATATATATATATATATATATATATATATATATATATATACATACATACATACACTAAGACAATGAAAGAGAGTGAGGAGAATAGTGAGATAGACAAAGTGAAAATGAGGGCGATAGAGAGAGAGACAGACCAAGAGAGAGATACAGACACAAACCAAAAAGTGAGAGAGACAGACTAAAAATTGTGAAAGAAAGAGACAGACAGACCAAATGAGAGAGAGAGAGAGAGAGTTTAAAAGATGCAGACACACAGGATGAAATGGAGAGATATGGATAAAAAAAAAAAAGGAAGTGGAAATGATCAAGAAATAGAGCGGTGGGGGCTGACTGATAAAGAGTGACAGATAGAGTGAGGGAGAATGAGAAAAGGAAAGAGTGAAAGAGAGAGAGAAAAAGCAAAAACTGACAGACCAAAAGAGAGAGAGAGAGAGAGAAAGAAGGATGGACAGACCAGAAAAAGAGAGAGATTGACAGAGTGAGAGAAGTTGGGATGAATAGACCAAAAGAAAAAAGACAAAAAGGACAAGTGAGACATGAAAGTATGAAAGAGAGAGAGAGAAAGAGAGAATGAAACATGAAAGTATGAAAGAGAGAGAGAGAAAGAGAGAATGAAACATGAAAGTATGAAAGAAAGAGAGTGAAACATGAAAGTATGAGAGAGAGAGAGAGTGAAACATGAAAATATGAAAGAGAGAGGGAAACATGAAAGAGAGAGGGAAACATGAAAGAGAGAGGGAAACATGATATAAAGGAAAGAGAGAGTGAAACATGATATAAAGGAAAGAGAGAGTGAAACATGATATAAAGGAAAGAGAGAGTGAAACATGAAAATATGAAAGAGAGATGGATAGATCAAAAGACTGCAAGAGATCAAAAGAAAATGAGAAGGTGAGGGACAAAAACTGGTAAACAAACTGAGAGAGTGGGAGTGAGAATACAAAAGAGAGAAAAATCTGCAGATAGCTGGATTGATGAGCAGATAACCTAATATATTCCCCTGCATGGTTGAATAAAGATTTGATAAGTCATTGCTGAGCCAACACTGACAGACGAGATGGCCGAGAAGGATAATAAACGTCTGCGGAGATTGAGAAATATGTGGGGTGAGAGATGCTTTGTGAGGTGTGGTTTTACAATGCAATGGAAGCTGCTATCGTTCATATACGAATGATCCACTTATTTTTGATGGGTACTATCCCAGTAAATAACAATTTCTTTCCCTGTTTATTTTTTTATACATTCACAGGCTATCTGACTATTTTGGCTATTTGAAGACATAAATAATGTCATCTGTTTTTAGTAAAGTTACCATTAGAAATTGCTATAGAAGATGACTTGTGCTTTATTTTGGTAAATAAAATTAAATCTTTATTAATGTTCCCTGCTTACCTTGGTTATTTCAACCCTTACATAATGCCATCAATGTTTTTGGTAGAAATTGCTATAGAAGATGACTTGGACTTTATTTTGGGAAATAAAATTAAATTTCTTAATATGTTCCAACCCTGCTTACCTTGGCTATTTAAACGCTTACATAATGCCATCAATGGTTTTGGTAGAGTCACCATTAGAAATTACTACAGAAGATGACTTGTGCTTTATTCTGGGAAATAAAATTAAAATTATATTAATATGTTCCCTGCTTATCGCGGCTATTTGAACCCTTATATAATGCCATCAATGTTTTTGGTAGAGTCACCATTAGAAATTACTATAGAAGATGACTTGTGCTTTATTTTGGGAAATAAAATTATATTAATACGTTCCCTGCTTACCTCGGCTATTTGAACCCTTATATAATGCCATCAATGTTTTTGGTAGAGTCACCATTAGAAATTACTATAGAAGATGACTTGTGCTTTATTTTGGGAAATAAAATTAAAATTATATTAATACGTTCCCTGCTTATCTCAGCTATTTGAACCCTTATATAATGCCATCAATGTTTTTGGTAGAGTCATCATTAGAAATTGCTACAGAAGATGACTTGTGCTTTATTTTGGGAAATAAAATTAAAATTATATTAATACGTTCCCTGCTTATCTCAGCTATTTGAACCCTTATATAATGCCATCAATGTTTTTGGTAGAGTCACCATTAGAAATTACTATAGAAGATGACTTGTGCTTTATTTTGGGAAATAAAATTAAAATTATATTAATACGTTCCCTGCTTATCTCAGCTATTTGAACCCTTATATAATGCCATCAATGTTTTTGGTAGAGTCACCATTAGAAATTGCTATAGAAGATGACTTGTGCTTTATTTTGGGAAATAAAATTAAAATTATATTAATACGTTCCCTGCTTACCTCGGCTATTTGAACCCTTATATAATGCCATCAATGTTTTTGGTAGAGTCACCATTAGAAATTGCTATAGAAGATGACTTGTGCTTTATTTTGGGAAATAAAATTAAAATTATATTAATACGTTCCCTGCTTACCTCGGCTATTTGAACCCTTATATAATGCAATCAATGTTTTTAAGAGTTACTATTAGAAATTGCATCCATATAGGAAACATGCTCAGATTTAGAAAAACACATAAATATCTGTATATTTCTCCTAATACATATATGCATAATTATGTGTACACAATATTATACACATACGCACACAATCCTGCTGACTTCCATACAAAATGGAATATGCTTGGCAGGACAGTTAACAGAAAATAATCAAGATCTAAGTTCAAATTCTGGCAAATTCAGACTTATCACTTTGCACAAATGACAAAGGCATGAACCCAATCTCTTTTACCTCCAGCTTTGGTTTAAATAACAGGACAGACCAAGCTCTCTAATCTTAGTTGGCAGCCAGTTAAGAATAATAATTCCGAATTGAAAACTGAGGAAAACATTTGAAATTATAATCATGGCAGAGTTTACAGACATTAAAGAAAAATGATAGATATCTGTCTATATATCTGTTGGGATATCCAGAGTGAGAGAAGTTGGGATGAATAGACCAAAAGCAAAAAGATAAAAAGGACAAGTGAGACATGATAGTATGAAAGAGAGAGAGAGAGAGAGAAAAACATGAAAATATAAAAAAGAGAGAGAGAATGAAACATGAAAGTATGAAAGTGAGAATGAAACATGAAAATATAAAAGAGAGAGAGAATGAAACATGAATGTACGACTGTTGTCCTCAACTTTATTGTCATATTCACAATGTTTCGACCATTGTACACACTGGCCTTCTTCAGGATCTGTCTCTATTTCTGAGGTGAGATATTGTAACTATCTGCACTATTTAAATCATTCAGACTGTTGTCCTCATCTTTATTGTCATATTCACGTTTCAGCCGTTAGACACTCTGGCCTTCTTTAGGTGATATACATTGGAATTTCAAACAGAAAATATTTTGTGTCAAATCCATCTTGCACATTTATAAATCTACCATTTGTTGAAGCAATGAATATTGTTGCCATATCTGTTCTGGTGATCCTGCTGTACACCTCAAGATTCATGACAAAATCCAAAGGGTCGGTAATCGATCTTGATCAGGCATCATGATGTCAGTCGGTTTCTCACTGATGTTAAATGGCTATCCTCTGTCTTTTCTACAAATATTTTCATCGTAACTGTTCTGATGAGATTTTTTCCCCCCTACTGCCCCAACAACATGAATTTAAGTGGGCTACTAGATTTACAGCTAAGTATCATTGCTGAACTAGCTACATGCAAGCATCATCTTCGACTTTTTTTTTTCCTCGCACTTCCTACCTGTGGAACTCCCTTCTAATTTCTTGTTTCTCTGATAACGACAAGCTTCAAAAATTTAAATGCAATGCCAATTGCCATCTTCTATCTTCTTGAAGCCTGTTCCTTTTTTTGTCTTTTCCTCAATCCTACCCACTAAAAAATTCTCATTCCCTTTCTTTCCTTGTAACCCCCTGTATTTTAGTGATATTATTGCCTTGACTGGGGTGAAATGATGAAAAAAAATTAAACCATTAATCTTCTTTATAATCCAGTAAACATTGATCTTTCTTAATTTTAACCATTAATCTTGTTTGCAAGTCAATAAACAATGCCTTTATTGTCATTTAAAGAATAAGTACATTTTGAGGTGGGGGGGACACTGTGTGGGGGGGTGATAAAAATATATAAGTGAACACTGAGGTATACACCAAGTGGCAATATTCTGTTACATACTTGAATGCAAACTTTATGGTCTTGTTTCCAGCTTAAGATTGGGTTTACAGTTCCTTCTTAAGTCTTTTCATTCTCTTTCCCTCCTTGTAACCCCTTGTGGCTTAGTGACTTTATCACCTTGCCTGGGGAAAAATGATTAAAAAAAAAATAAATAAATAAGTTGGTTTTCAGTAGAGAGTTGTAAAAAAAAACAACAAATCCAACCTGTGTATTGAGGCATCCTAAGAAGAAATAACACTATCGTAAAACTGGGTGAAATTCATTTAACGCTTAATGAAAATAACCCAGCATCAAACTCATTATTGAAAATGCAGTTTTGTCAAAATACCAAAAATAAAAATTAGATCTTTTAATATAAGCAAGTAAATCTTGTTCATAAAAAACAATTGTATTGACAATCATTGGGCCCAATAGACTACCCATGCATATCCCATTTATTTGTTTATACATAAATGTGTCAAAGCTGAATTCCAGACATGGTGGCAAATTTAATCATTTCAATGAAGACAATTTCATGAATATAGTGTGTTGGACAAAGAGTAGCTGTTAGCTCTAAGCATAATTAGCCTTTGATATTTATTTATGTACACATTAAGATATACATTTTTGCTGTAATATTTCAAAACTAAAAACATTCCTATTTTATAGTTGGATTTTGCTTGTGATAAAATGATATCTAACTTATTTTTAGATCACCATCACATTTCTGACTATTTCTACTCTTTTTCGTCAGTTCTATTTTCGACAAAGTATTTCTCTTTTTTATTTTCATATCTGTCTTCTTTATTATCTCTGCTGTTTTCTTAATTGTTAATTTTCTATTCATCTTTCTGTTCTTGCTTTCTACCATAAATTTGGATTCTGTTCTTGTTTAAAGAAACCAAACAAACCTTTTGGCCCAACCAACATTCAAAAGAATTGACGTCAAAAATATTCTTTTGTACTAAATACAAATCACATCTGGCATATTCATGGTAGTGGGTATTTATTATATAGGAATAGTGTCACTACTGACACTGGAGTTTGAACACAGATCACCAGAGGCAATCTTAAATAAGTAGATCATGTGATGATAAAAGAAATGTATATATAGGAATTAGTATGGCATTTAAGTGATCACTATATGGATTACTAGTCAGTGGTTACTTTTCAAGAAAGTATTATTGAGCAAGTACTATTAGTGTGAGTGTTATTTGAAGGCATTTGACAACAGTATTGTTCAATGATGTTACTATACACTATTTACATTATTCGGATTATTGTCCTCATCTTTGTTGCCATGTTTATCACAACATTTTGGCTGTTGTACACTCCGACCTTCTTCAGGTGGTTGGAATGCTGAACTGAACCCTTTATTTCGCTCACTGGGGTAGACTGTTCTAGTTCCATGTGCCATGTCTCCTGATAATTCCCCTCTAAAAGTTCTCCACCACTTTAACCAGGTATTGAACTCACACTCACTGGATCTAACTAATGCCTTTATCCACTGTGCCATGTGTTCTTAAGGACATCTATGTATGAATTTTTGAGTATTATAAACCTCATATCTTCAGCAATCTTTTTTTTACCAGTGCTCATATTGCAGTTATCACAGGATGTTTTTTACCAGAGCTCATATTGCAATTTTTGTTATTAT